CCAGGCTCTGAGCTGTCAGCACAGAGCCTGACGCGGGGCTCGAACTCACGAACCGTGAGATCATGACCTGAGCCGAAGTCGGTCGCTCAACCGACTGAGCCATCCAGGCGCCCCTGTCTGACTTCTTTCATTTAGCATAGTACAAGGTCTAGGTCCATCCATGTTGGTATGAAATTGCAAGATTTCATTGTTTTCGTACGGCTAATATTCCTTTGTGTATGTGTATATATGCACTCTTTTTTATCCATTCACCGATCGGTGGACACTTAGGTTGTTTTTGTATCTTGGCTCTTGTAAAGGAGTGCTGCAGTAAACCTAAGGGTGCATACAGCTTTTCAAATTAGTGTTTTTGTTTTCTTTGGATATACACACAGCAGAATTATTGGGTTCTGTGGTATTTTGGTTTTTAACTTTTGGAGGGACCTCCATACTGTTTTCCACAGTAGCTGCATCACTTTCCATTCCCACCAACAGTGAATGAGGGTTCCCTTTTCTCCACATCCTCTCCACCACTTGCTATCTCTTGTGTTCTTGATACAAGCCGTTCTGATTAGTGTGAGGTTATATCTCATTGTGGTTTCCATTTGCATTTCCCTGACGATTAGTGGTGCTGAGGATCTTCTCTGTGTGTCTTCTTTAGAAAAATGGCTATTCAGGTCATCTGCCCATTTTTTAATCACATGACTGTGATGATTTTTGGTGTTGACTTGTGTGAGTTCGTTATATATTTTAGATATTAACCTTTTATTGGTTATGTCATCCTCAAATCTTCTCCCATTCAGTAGGTTGCCTTTTCATTTCGTTGACGGTTTCCTTTGCTGTGCAAAAGCTAGCTGTTATCCTTCATGATAAGTTCACGGTTGCATATATCCCTGTACATAGTCAAAGAAGGGGACTGTCATGTCTTGGTCTGTGCCTCTTACGGGCCTCAAGTCTGAGAAAGACATGGGGAGACATATGATAGAAGAGGAGGAAAATATCATAAAACAGTAGGAGGCTGACCTTTTATTCATGTCTGGGGAGGGAGAAAGCCAAGGATATTGGACTGACAACCCTGGTTCTATCTTTTAGGGAAGAAGAAAAGGAGGTTAGGTTAGGGGCTCAAATGTTAGGCCAGAGGGTCAGGGGAATGTCATGGGTATTAGGGGAAAGGAAGCGTGTAGGGTTTGAGGTCTCTGGGCTGAACATTCTATAAAACTCAGTGACCACCAAAAAGGCACTCGTTGTAGGCTAAATCCTTGAGGGAAGTGGTGGCATCTTCTGCTCTGGAAATAGTGTTCCCACTTTCAACCCTGTAGAAAAATACGAAGTTTCTCTTGTGGCTGGAGCTGGGCTTCCTCCTTTTCCCCTGAGATCAGTGTTTGGGAAGTGAAGGTGATTCCAGGTGCCTGCTGGCCTGGGCACGGGCCAGGGCAGGCAGGACTCACCTCTCAGGTGCTCACTTTCTCCAGGGAGGTTGCCCCCCTCCACCCCGCCCCCCCCACTTCCTTCCCACACTGAGCTTGTCAGACCCCTGAAGCACAGGCAGGGAGGAGACTTCCAGTCAGCCTAAGCCCAGCTAGACCCTCAGGGACTCAATCTTTGTGACTCAGGAAGTGCAAGCTCCATTCCAAGAACTGAAACACGGTTTCTGTATCTGTGTTTTGATTGGCCTCGGGTTGGGTGTTGTTTGGAGAAATGGGGAGCCACGGAGAAGCTGTGGAGAGGAGTGGAGAGGACAGAGAACAGGCCGTGTGTGTGTGTGTGTGTGTGTGTGTGTGTGTGTGTGTGTGTGTGTTGGGGGGTGTGGTGAGGCGTCTGCCTGAGCTGTGACCGAGGCAGGAATCATCCGGGGGAATGCTTCATTGGAAGGGTGGAGGGGCCACCTCTGTGGGACTTTCCGGGTAGGAATTGCCGGGCAAAGGTTCCTGGAATCTAGGAATTTCCCAGGCTCGCTCTGGCACCAACCTGTTAACTTTAAATAACCTCCGGTGGCCAGAGGGAGCCGTGAGAGGTAAAGACTACGTATGGGTGAGGGTGGATAGCCACAAGGAGGAAACACGGCTTCGCCTCTCTGCTGTGCCTCACTGTTTACGTTTGTCTCCTTAACTACACTGTGAGTTTGTTCAGCGGGGTCAGCGCCTTGTACTTCCTGGTGTCCACATCCTTAGTGCAGTGGTGAGCGTGTAGAAGGGCTCACTCAGTAAGCTGCTGGAGTGAAGGCATTTCCTCTTCCCCCCTCTCTGGAGCCACTAGTGTTTTTGTGCAGCGGGGAGAGGGGGCACCAACTGGGCGGGAAAAGAAGGGTCAGACAGAGGCCCCATCCTGGATGAGAGAGCCTTGGCCGCTCCTGGCTTCTGTCCCCTGTGCTCCCTCCCCACAGCCATCGGTAGTCCCAAGCTCTGCGACCGGCACGGCTCTAGACTTGCTCCTGCCGTCGGGGGGGGGGGG